TTAATGAACACATTTTGAACATTTTGAATTCTTGAAAAATAATAACAATGAATGTCTCTTTCAAATAAATTAAAAAGCTGAATTTAAATTGTCCATGTAGCAAACGAAAGCAGAAAAATGCCATGAGGCGTCATCCTTATATCCATTTATCTTATCTAAAATGAAGATAACACTGTATATATTGCTTTTTCTTACCTTTACACTTTGTATAAACAACTATAGTGTGGTTATGTCTTATGAAGTGCTACGGAGAAAATTAATTAATTAATTTCCTGAGCGGCCACAAAGCTTGCATATGTAGTTGAATTTGCAGACTTCACCCACTTCTTGAATTGATTTTTCGTCCGGTCAGCCTTCTGCATCAGTTCCGAAACAGCTTTTTTCCTCTCTTCTCCCTCTGGATATTTTTCAGCAAAGGCTCTGTGTGTATTGTTAAAATGTCTTGCGACATTTGACCGTTTATTGTTAGCCAGTTTTTCTCCACAAATTAGGCATACTGGTAGGCCACTCTCGCCCGAGGTAAATGCAAATGAATCTGCCCAGGCATCATTGAATGTTCTATTTTCTTGAGATATTTTTCTTTTCTTACATTTCTCCATTGGCTTTGCCGGGGTTGAAAGTCGCTCAAAATAGACGCCGTTTCAGCGGGTATACCAGCTTCCGCAGTGTGACGTCTATTTTGAGCGACGAAAAAATAATATCAAATAATTTAATTAATATTTTAATATTTCAAGATCACAATAATCTTCAAATTTAGAACTAAAATAATATAAAAACTAACACAAATAAAACACACTTCAATTAAATACAAAAAAAAAATTTTTTGTAATTTATTTTCCCAAGCCAATCAGAGCCGCATTATAAGGATGAAAGAGCCGCATGAGGCTCCGGAGCCGCGGGATGCCGACTGATGACATAGTATAATGGGAACTGTGACAAACACATTGGCAAACACAGTAGACAACAATAAAGGTAAATACCATACTTTCCACACTATAAGGCGCTTCGGAGTACAAGGCGCACCTTCAATAGATGGCCTATTTTAAAACGGTTTTCTTATATAGGGAGCACCTGAATTATAAGGCACATAGAATAGAAGATATAATAGTGGCCGCGGTTGCGTTATGCATCCACTAGATGGAGATACGCTAAAGAGAATACAATATAATACAGCTTTATTTATATAGTGCTTTCACAACCGCTGTAGCTGTAACAAAACACAGAACATTTAAAATACTACGTCCAAGAAATCAAAATATTGATCTGGTTATATGGCGCATCGGATTATAAGGCACACTGTCGGCTTTTGAGAAAATGATTTTAGGTGTGCCTTATAGTGCGGAAAATACGGTAATTTGAAAGAAATGGTGAGGTCCAGTCTTCTTTCTGTTGTTGGTTCTCAATATATAAACAAGCTCTGTACTTGAAACAAAGAAGATGAGCACGTGCCGACTGGTAACATGAAAAACAAATGGAATAGGAATTCAAGACATCCATTCATCCATCCATTTTCAAGACCGCTTATCCTGAACAGGGTCACGGGGAGTAGACGCAGCCTATCCCAGCTGACTTGGTGGAAGGCATAGTACACCCCGAATTGGTCGCCAGTCAGTCGCAGGGCACATATAGAGACAAACGACCATTCACAACAACATGCACACCGTCACTGAGCGGGAACCGATCCCACGCTGCCCACACACAAGTCCGGCAAGTGTGGAAGTCAAGGCAACAAGTCAAAACATCCACCAATCCATTTTATACCACTTATCCTGTTCAGGGTTGTGGTGCAGACAATCTAAGTAACATAAACAGCATCATCTTGAACTCCATCCGTTCATCAAATCTCAGCTTACCTTGTGTCGGATACTCGTCTTTTGGAGTCTATCCCAGCTGGCGTAGGGTGAGAGGCAGAGCCTGGGACTGATCATCCGTCAATCACGGGGCTGACACATTGAAAGAAGACAATGAATTCCACCCACATTGACACCAATGGGCAATTTATCGTCTTCAATTCATTACACATGCATTTTAGTACTGTGTCCAACAACAGAAGAGGAGATTCAACAGTACTACTGTGCATCTGGTAAAAGTTAAACTTGAGTCTAAAAAAGAAGATTTAAATTTGTGGGTGCCATATGTAAACATTTTCTCGAAAGCACAGGATAATTCAGTCCAGCATTTGCCCATCCACTTAAGACAAATAAACATCTCTCTCTCTCTCTCTCTCTCACAAAGATGACCCTTTTTCCCTCTGGACTGGTAATAGCTTGTAACTTTAATTACTTCAGTTGATATACGGAATTGCTCTCACATTGATATTAGAGAGTAAACTGTTGATCCCATTTGGACCACACTCCTAACCAAAGCAACAGCCCCGAGACACGTAATCAGTCTATCGGATGAATTAAAGTTTAGAGTCATACCAAATGTTGTAAACGAGTCCATTGTACAATGAACAATCTAACGTTGTTAAGTTTTCCATGCGCAAAAGGCAGCAGGAAGAAGACTAGACTTATTCTATCCCACCACTTCTCTATTTTTTTCTTAATGTATATCTTTATTCTTCATCCATGATCATAATAAGGCTAAAGATAATAAACATAGTCATAATCATAATGAAACAATGCATAGTGATGATATAAAATAAGAAATACTGTAACACACATATGTCAAAGTGCCGGCCCGCGGGCCAGATCCGGCCCGCGAGAATGTTTTCAGTGGCCCCTGGGATGATATTGATTTATTATTAGAACCGGCCCGCGGACCGCAGCAAGCCGAGAGCCCGCAGATCTTTTACACGCACCAAAACTACATTTCCCACAATGCAACGGTGACGCGCCAAGCAGTCGGCCGCTTTATTTAAATATTTATTCGTCTAGCAGTCGTTCCCATAACAGTGACATTAGCTTTCAGATACCCATCAAAAATGGCAAAACGGAAGGTGGACACTGAGAACCGGGGGTTTCAAACAAGGTGAGAGTCGAAGAACATGTTCATGGACGTAGCTGGAAAACCTGTGTGTCTTCTGTGTGGAGAAAGTGTGGCGCGATCGAAATAGTGTAATATGAGACCGCTTGATCCTCACTAGGGTCGCGGGGGGTGCTGGAGCCTATCCCAGCCGTCTCCGGGCAGTAGGCGGGGGACACCCTGAATTGGTTGCCAGCCAATCGCAGGGCTGTGGCGCGATTGAAATAGTGTAATCTGAGACGACATCATGAAACGAAACACGCAAACAAGAACATGGACATGGAGGGGGAAGGGGGATTTCATTAAAAACGGTATACTTAAAGTTTGTGACGAAGTTTACCCCGAAAAAAAGCAACTCTTTTTAAACGTGAGCATTAGCAGAAACACAATGGCAGTGTTTCTGCAAAGATACGGCAGTGCGTGCTGCGCAGTTTGACGGTTTCTTATAATATACTGTGCAATCACATACTAAGAGTTTTTACTCAGTTCAAGTTTAAAAATTAAAGTACAATATTTGCTTTCGCTGCTTGTTACTTCTTGAAGAAAGTGTTGTTTTTGGTTTATACATTTTTGCACTTTATTTTATTGTATTTCAATCCTATTATGTTTTGAAAATATTTTATTCGAGTAAATGATCGAAAATTACTGCACTATTATTTGTTTTTCTTTTAAGTAAATTTAGCCTACTTTTGCTATGGACTAGTGATAGTGCCTTGAATAATATCGGCTTCTTTCATTCATGTTATGGGTATTTTTATACAAAGGAAATTTTTTTGTGCCTGTTGAAAATTAAAGTTTACTGACATAGCCATAAAAAAATGTTGCTTTATTTATCTGACCGTATTGGAATGTATTTGTTAGGTTTTCGGTCAATTAAATTTGGTTCAATAAACAATATGTGGTTATTTTTAAAATTTTCAATGAACATTCGATCAGTCCGGCCCTCGGCTTGCAGCAAAAATTTTTATCTGGCCCTCCGTCCATTTGACTTTGACACCCCTGCTGTAACAGATATACACCATTACCAAAACTGATCCAAACAGTCAGCAATAACAAGTACCAAACAACAATAAACATAAATATGTATATAAGTGCAAATCAGTAATAGTCTTAAATACCGAGTGACTGTCTTCCCCTCTGTTCCCACTGTGAATATAGAACATTAATATCTCATTTCAAATTGATTTATGTTGATACTTTGTTTTATGCCCTCACACAACTGTTCCATAATTTGTAATGAAATGTTCTGTATGCTCACGTTTTTGTTCATTCAAGCTGCACGCCTAGTTTGTCCTTTTTATTTGGTTCTGAAATCCCATTTCAGATAGGACTCACCTGGCCAGACGCATCCACCACGGGCATCTGTTGACGTATCTGGCCAATGCCACTGTTTGTGAAAATACAGTCACACTGCTCTCCCCCTATCCATCGTGTTCATCCGTCCTGTCGTTGTTTCTACTACTCGTATTGAATTTTCATTTGTCTTCTCTTACCCACAGTCTCACCATAAACACGAGTAAAATGACAATTGTCAAAATAAGAGCCCAATAATACGCCTTCATCTAAAATCAATCTTCATTACCTAAATGTGTTGCCAAATTGATTTTCAATATCCACTTTACAAACTGACAAAGTTAACTGAAATGGAGGTTATCACCATGCGCCAAAACTTAGGCAATAAAGATGTGAAGTGAGAAGTTTGGAAATGAGGCTGATATATGTGATCAAAAAATAATGTATTTGTATTTAGACTTGGTGAAGCAGCATGTGGGTGCTTGTCCAAGGTTATTTTTCTATGCTGTATTCCGAGGACCTGTAAATGATTATTGTTTGTGGTCGCGAGGCGGGTCATGTTTGGTATACAGCTGCAAAGTGTGACAGCAGCTACCAGAGGACCTTGTAGACTGCACTCCATTCATCCCTTCGATACAATATCTACGGAAAAATAAAACGCAACGCTCCCAATTCTCAATACTGTGGATATAATATATCACAGAATCATTCAATACGCATTTCCTATTTGTCTTTTTCAGATGACTCAGGAGCAGTATATCCTGGCAGCGCAGCCAAACTCTCTGCACCAGCGGGGGTCGTCGGTATGCGGAGCCCAAGTGTACCCCGCGGTGGGAATCTACGGCTGGAGGAAAAGATGCTTGTACTTCTTCATTCTCCTTCTTGTCGTCACCATGATTGTCAACCTGGCGCTGACCATCTGGATCCTCAAAGTCATGAATTTCACTCCGGTAAGAGGCGAGTTGTCTGTGTGTCATTAAAATGACAAAATGTTATATGGTTCAGTGCTCATGAGGGACTTTATGTGAGGAACGCTCTAAGGGGTGGTTTAAAAGGTTTGCTGTCAGGTAAAAGAAAGGTTGTACTATTTGTTAAGTCGTCAAAAACTCCAGGGAAAAATATGCTCTCAAAAAATGAAAGTTGATTCCATCCACAGCTTTTCTTTTTGTGCAGGTGTGATGTTTGTCAGTGCGATGGATGCTTCAATTTTAGATCCTGTTGCCCAACTGTTTAGTTCGAGTTCACAATCATGACATGGTCCGCAAGGAGATCCGCAGAAAATGAATACAATCAATCTGGATCTAACTTCTAAAGTATGTGATCTGGGGTTACAACTGGAGCAACATTTCCACACACACACATAAACCTCTGATCGCCAATCAGTATGGGTTCATCCCCTTTCAAGCTTGACTCTTTTAAGCGTGTCATCCAAGGGTTCCAGCTCCCAAGCAACCAATATCCCAGATCGCCTCAAGGCACCACGGACTAAACTCTGATGGCTGGTATGCAAATGGTGCAGCATTTCACCTGGGTCATGTTTCAATATATATAAGAGAATATAAGAGCGGTTAAAAAAAAAAAAAAAAAGGAAGAAGGGATGCAGTTAGAAAATATGCATGCCTGCGGGAAGGCAGCCGGTACAAGGTATAAAAAAGAGCAGAGGATATTTCATAGGTGAACAGTGGGGGAAAAAAACAATATGGAAAACCATCATACTGGATTCATAAAGGCAAGAGGCGAGAAACGAGAAGGAAACATCAATAAAAACAAGTCAACGTGAAATAAATAAAGTATGATATGAATACATTAAAGTGCTAGCCATATAATAAACTGTTTTCATCATTAGCGGATATATGACAATATAGCCAAAGCTTAAAAACACTGTGAAGTCATTTTTATGGTTTGTTTCTAAACACATTAAATAGGTTTGAAGATACGTGCTAAAAGCATGGAAAGAATGAGAAATATGTAGTACTGAATTGTTAAGGTAGTGTTTTTTTACACCTTGCATGCCTGACTCGACTACTCGTTACACTCACGACGGTTCTCAGAATAAACGACTGGAATGACTGTGGCGTGTGGTGTGGTGTTCATTCACAGGTGACCAATCAATGCTTGGCAATGTGTCTTGTCCCGACGGAATAATATCAATCATGTCTTTTAGAAATCTTGAGTCTTTTAAGATTGAAAAGCTGAAAAAAATAACACATTTTGCTGAAGAGCTGTTTTGGTGTGGAAATGAGTTGTAAGAAATGTCTTGTAATTAATTAAGAATCGACAGTATGGCATGCATGCATGCTCAGCATCTCCCTTCAAGCATCTGCTTTCTTGCTCCACAGAGACCCATTGATCGATTTTACTGCATGCCAGAGTAAAGTAAATGGATGACGAGTTGGCAGACGGGTGTTGGAACATCAGAACATCAGAACACCTTTCAGGTCTCATAGTACAGCACCGCTAAACAGATGCTTGGACCCTTTGAATCTGCTGCTGCTACTATGATGGAATAAATGTCAGGGACTGTACGAGAAGAGCTTTTCAGTTTTCCACTCATTTTAAAATGGAAACTGGGCAAAAAATTGGATCAATGATTAAAATTTAAATGGGCATTTCAAATTTAGGCCCACAATTGAATTTCTTTTTCAAAATCAGTTTATTTGTAACTGGCAGCAGTACGTCGTCACATTTCTGTGCTTCGTGTGGACAAGGACCATTTTCTTGCTCATGGTCTACTGGTATCTAATTTGTAAAAAGTAAAAAATAAAAACCTTGCCATCATTTGCCTTTTGCCACAGTGGGAGCTTCTATTTTTCCTGTGAAGCACCTGTTGCTGAAGCCAAATTGTGGTCAAGTTTATATTTTCTGGACCTGGATTTGCCACCTTTGCTTAGTTCTGACTGAAAAGGCCAAGCAATAAGAGATTTGTTTTTGAAGAGACAATTTTGGCAGTAAATTAAGGTGGAAGGCTTTGGCATGGGGCTGAAACTGTATTTGAAAGGCAGGGTGAGTCAGCGAGGATATTCATGTGCGCACATTGTGCCAGCATTTATTCAACACCTGCTCGCGCTGATGTGTGTAAATGCAAGCCTGTCTATTCAGGCATTCATGTGTGTGTGCCTTCCTCTTTCAAATGGGTGAGCGTTTGCTACAGAAATATTAATTTTCAGATGACGTTCCATTTATTCTGCTTTCCTCCCCAAGGTTGTGCCACAACTTTACAGTTTTAATCTCGCATCACCAAAACGTTAACATAGCAACGTGGAGAAAAAAAAGGGAATGTATTATGCAGGTTTAACTTTGACCATCAGTTTGTGAAATATATTTTTCTTTCTTATTAAATGTGATTTTCTGCAAAACAGTCAAGAGACTTAGCTAAGATTAGAGCCACAGCATACTTCAAATCAATAAGAATGACCAGCATCATGTACGCCACAGATCAACACTTGAAGCTTTGTATTGGACAACTATGAATTGCATTCCACTGTAAATGACACGAATGCATGAGGATGTAATGGTTAACAAGTTCTTAACCAATGAATATGATGTCACATGCTTACAGTGTCAGTAAAAATTAATTTGATTTTCTCATTTTAATAAACTGTAAACACAAATGTCATACGAAGGCCAATGACTGCAAGAATAAAGAAAGGCCAACACTTCCCAAATCATATGTGGAGCATCGTTTTACTGATTTTTAACCGGATTATTTGAAGTTGTCATTTCCTTCAGCTGAAAAGGGCGAGAGGTACACGATCTCAATTAGTGACCAGGCTGCACTTTGCTGTCACAGCTGCCGTAGTCATTCATACTCACCAGATTTGTGTACATTTTCACACTTGCCAAAAGTAGCTTAAGTCCTTTGTATAAGATGAGCTCTCTGTGGAAAAGGGAGAAAAGAGTATACTTAAGTGTACAACAAGTGTGTGTGTGTGTGTGTGTGTGTGTGTGTGCGCGCGCGCGCATGCACACGCGTATTCATGCATGTGTTTATTATTCATGTGTTTGTTCAAAAATAGTGTTCCCATAGTGCAGGCTCAGCTTCTCCGATTTGTCGTCTTCTTCCAAGCTCCTCAGGTCAATGATGAGCTGATCTCTTTTTCTCCCTGACGGAGTAGAAATGAGTGCCTGATCTGTAAGGGCAGAAAGGCAGATTGTGAGAGGATGAAAAGTGGATGTGTGAGTGTCAGTGGTCTCACCCATGGTTGAGCTGCTGTATATAACTTATGTATTCAGTGTCAACATCTCGTCTAAGGAGGCTGCTTCATCCTGGTTCAGCTGAGGGAGACCACGATGCACTCCTCTGCATTCATCTCTCACATGCTGTTCGTCACTCCACCACCTGGTAGCTTGAGGCAGCTCATCTGTTTGCCTTGGGCTACCGTCCTCTCCAGGTTGATAAAAAAAATGGATGGAGCATCCATGTTTTTTCGGTGAATTGTAGTCGTCGCCAAAAATTAATTGCTCCTGTTGCTGGAGATGATTTGCTAAGCACTTGAAAAAATCCAGCCTTTGTAAACTTTATTAGGAGAAGATGTGAACGAAATACAACGGGACTCCTACTTACACTTTATGATCAAACACGTGCCCTCCACCACTTATGGAACGTGATTAGCACGCCTGTACTAAGATGTGTTTCATGACTGAAACCCTGTGGACCCTTTCAGCACGTAGCATATTTCATCCATATGATCAAGGCCGACCTGTTTTTGGATGTTTGCTGCTCAAGTACATTTATGAATATCCGAGTATGGTAATATGTGTAGAGGCTTCTCTTCTTAGGAGTTTTGGCGATGGAAGATGTGTCTGACTCAAGTTTCATAATTCATCTCATCATCATCACAGGAAACCTGATGTTCAACATTTTCATTTATTTTCTGCATTTCAGTTTCCTCATTCTGTAGTTGCAAGTCAGGTGAGGCAATGAAGCGTGAACCACACATGACTTTTGTGTCATTTCTTATTTGAGTATCATCTGTTTTGTCCTGTGAAGACCCTTTAGCGGACATCTTCGCAGGGAAAAGAAATCATACTAGCCCACAAATAGCAAACATCTGTGTGTACTTGACTATTGTAAATAGCACAGCCACCTTATGCAGCATATATGCAGTAGTATATATATGCTTATATTTTATATTTTATATTGCATTCTGTACTGTGTACAGTTTGTTATTTAAAAAAAACACTTGTGCATGCAAATACTTCATGGTTTTTTCTACTTTCTTCCCTCCAAATGTTGCTGCTGTAGATTGCGAATTTCTCCATTGTGAGACAAAAAAAAAAGGTTTGCTTATCTTATCTTAATTATAAATGCTTTGTAAATTATATTTACATTTTTTGACCCGCCAAAAATCTGGGATAAACCTCCAATTAGTGTGTTTCATGAAAAACACACTAATTTCTTCAATAAAAGAATTTGAAGAAATTTTGAAAAATTGATCAGTGGGGGCCGAACTGCAATTATGGTCTATTCTATTTCCGTATTTCCAATTTGTTCACACTGTGTAACATACGCAAATGGCGTGACAACCCAGTGTGCTCTACTTTTTTTTTTTTTTTTTTGCATTGCAGCATGGAGGTGGCACAAAAATAATCACCCCCTCCCCCCACCCCCAAAAAAATTGTGGAGCTCATCTTTAAATCACACAAGATGTGCTTAAGTGTCATGTCATGCACAAAGTCGGCCATGACAATAGTTTGGCAGTCAAGTTTTCTGTATAGTTTTCGACAAAATGTTGAACGTTTCTGGGCATTGGACTTTGGAAGTTGCACTTTACTGTGCTGGCGATGAAGTAAGTGTGTGCTGTTGAAGGCAGTATTAGCACTGAAACCTGCTTTACTCAGCTCCTCTCCCCCGTCAGCATCATTATGGCTCTTCACACCTGCATACTAGAGTTTATTGCATACACGCACACACACGCACACATTTTTCTCATTTTGTCAGGAACAGTGC